TGGTTGGTTGGTCGGTTGGACATAGTTATTGATTCTGCAGGTAAATAAGGTTAACGAAGAAGAAAAAAATCGATAGGTAGAGTGTGAGAGAGAGAGAGAGGGAAAAATATCCACAGAAAAATAGTTATTATTACAATAATATGCCGGCAAACTAAACGAACCACTGCCACCACGACCATCAGCGAACAGAAACCAAAACAACCAAAAAAAAACTCGAAGAAGACGAAACCACATGTGTAAACATTTGGCCATAGGATAGAGGGGGGACGGGTTTTTTTCAATGTTTTTTTTATTCGTTGATCTTCAATTTTTCCCCCCTCCACACTATTTCGAAATTTTGGATTGTTTTTTTTTTGTTTTGGAAAAACATTAATTTCTCTCTCTCTCATTTGATCTATCTCGTGCGGTGTCTTTTGTTTTCTGTCATCATCAGCAGAATTAGTGTTTTTTTTGTTTCAGTGTCAAGAAATTACCGTAATCGTTTTTGGCTTTTTGATTTTTTTTTGTTTTCGGGTTTCCTGATGTTCAATGTTTGAAGAAAATCCAACGCTGAAAATGTTGGCCAATTTCAATTAGTGTAACGACACTGCGTTTGTTTTTCAAAGAAGAAGAAGAAACCAAACCAGAAGAAAACAATGGCAAATCGAAATTGTTGTTCATTGTTATTAACACAATCAACGACATTATCATCATCATCATCGTCACCACCAACAATTAGAATGAAATATCAATTACTAACGTATGTTATTCATTTTTCTTTTACTTACCTAAGTTTTTCCAAAAGTTTTTCCAAGTTCTTTGATTCAAAGAAGATCCAAAGAAAAAACAATGTTTTGCTGTTTTTTTCATACCGATATTATTATCGAATAATCCATAAAGATTTGGTGATGGATCTATTCTGAAAATGAAAAACAAAATGAAACTTTGTTTTTCTTTTTGACTACGTCATCGTTAACCTTGACTTGATTATGTTTTTTTTTTGTTTCTGGTTTTGTTTTTTGGGATTTTTTCTCCACCCGATAATTTTTTTGGAATCGATTTTTTTCTCCATTTTTTTTCGTTTGAAATCGATAAACATGTGAAATAATGATGATCTTTATTTTTTTTTTGTTGTTTATGATTCTTTTGATTTCTCGTTTCTGGATTCGAATGAACCAAAAAAAAAGTTTCTTATTGGCCTACTTTTTTTTTCGCCTGTTATCAGATTCTTCAGTTTGCTTTCTCAAATTACTTCATCTTTTTTTTCGAATGGAAATTTGAAAGAAAAAAAAAATTCCTTAGAATTTTTTCATGGTGGCAGCATAAACATAAATGAATGATGATAATTAGTTTGTAGAAGCGACACATTGACAATCTCTCTCTCTCTCTTTTCAGTTACTAAATTTAGAATGTAATTTATATCTTCCGGATTGATGATGATGATGATGATGTTACACAATCTGATCATGTCTGTTATTTTTTGTTTTTTTGATTTCTTGATTTTCTGAAAATGTTTCTTTTTCGGCTAGATATTTTTTTGGTTGAACAAAAAACTTTCTGGAAGAAAAAAACGTCAAATGATGGAATTGAAAAAATTCTTATTTCGCTAGATGATATGTCCTTGTCGGCCGTTTGTTTTTCTTACCAAATTGCTTCATATAATGTTGTTTTTTTTTCGAGTTATGATTCGGTTTTTTGTTTTTTTTTCCGAACGATGAACATTGCCGACATTGACGTATTTTTTTCGCTTCTTTTTTTTTGTTGAGTTTCCATATAGAGAAAGACCTTGTCCTCGAATCATCGACCATCCATCACGTCATATAGAGAATCAAAAAAAAAAAAAAAATTCGAATGTTAACAGTTGATTCGTCCTTCACTCACTCAAACACACACACAGACAATAACTGTCCATCGAAACAATCGATATTTATTTATCGAAATCGATAGTTTGACCCGGAAAGAATATTGATGATGAAAGAAATTCGAATCGAAAAAACTCAAAAATTTTGATTTAAATAATTTTTTTTGTTTTCAAATTCACCCATAAAATGTCATTTTATGGTTATGATAATGATAATGACATTGAAAATTTCATTGATGATTCCTCCTCTTCTCTCAAAACAAATGATATTTCCAATGAATATTTTGCGCATGTTAAATTTGATGAACCAGAATTTCATTTTCTGGTTTTCTGGTTTTGTTTTCCGCTATTCTTTACATTGTTACAAAATTTGGAAATTTTCAATTCGAAATGCATCGAAACGGAAACCCGAAATGAATAAAAAACAAACAAAATTTCGATTTGTCGCAACTTTTTCCCTCCTCTCATTTCGCCAATTCAATCTGATAAATATCCATATTTTTCTTCTATGGATTCTTTTTTTCCCGAACTATTTTATCATTCTTCTACCACAACCGATACATCCAAGATACAAATGTTGTTAATGTTGAAATCATTATCAATGATGTTTTTCGGGTAATAATTTTTCTGTATTACAAATAATAATGGTTTAGGACGCCATGAACCTAAACGTCTTTTATCGTTAGTTAGTTTTTTCCATCATCATTAATGTTGTTTTGGTTGTTGTTGTTTGCAATATTCTATATCATTTGGCACCACCAACAACAACATTGAATTCTATAGGATTCTTTCTTTTCTACATCTGCATTAGGCGCTAAACATATAGAGCGGCACTGAATGATTTTTTGTTTTGTTTTGTTTTTGCCGTTCACATGATGATGCATAGAATGAAAGAGAGAAAGAGAGAAACGTTATATATGAGAGGCGCCAGAATAAAGAATATTCTTTTGTTTTGGTTTATTGGGTATATCGAAAAAGGCGCAAGCGCACACAATCCAATTTCTATCACTATGCTGTTTTGATGGCTGTTTTTATATGCTGAAAATGATGGGAAAAAAACTAGAAAAACTTAAACCAAACCCAATCAAAGATTCAAAAAAGGAAAAAAAAGAGTGTGAGAAAAATAAGAGAGAATCTCAAAGTGTGACAGAGTGAAAGAATCTCTAGTGTTTCGAGGTGAAAGAAGAAGAAGAAAAAGAAAACCTTAAACACAGAATAACAGACAGATCAAGAATCAAGAAAAAGCGGTGCTTTTGGATATATTCTTTGATGTTTTGGTTACTCGATTCTGGTTTCTTGATTTTCTCTGTTGTTGTTGATGTGCTGTTTTTTAATGGTGTTTTTCCTGGTTTCATTTTCAAAAAAATTTCATTGAAATTTGTGTGTCTGGTGTGTTGAATCTGTGATCATCTGATGATGATGATTATAATGACATCAATCATGTCGTCGATTGGATAAAGGGGGAAAAACAGAACAACAACAACAACAACAAAGATTATCTTGATCGATAATAGAATATTCTTCAAATGATGACTAAATTACCCTAATTTTTTCCATTGTGTGATTGTTATTCTTTGTTTCTTTCTTTCTTTGCAAGTGTTTTCTCTGTGTTTTGTGTGTGTAAAAACCAAAATTGAACAACAATAATAATGGCTAATGTAACGTTTTTCTCATCCGATAAATCATCATCATTATCACCTTATTCAGGTGTTAATGATGATGATAATAATGATGATAATAGTAATGATAATAATAACAATTATCAACAACAACAACAACAACAAATAAAACTAATCAATAATGTCCATTATAATAAAAGTGATAATAATAACGATGACAATCATCATTGGCCATTAGAATATTATAATTGTTATTATTATTATTTTAGAAATAATAATTATTCTGGCCATCGTTATAATCTTCATTGATAATAATCGACAATAATCGCGTGTTGTGTGTGTGTTTTTGAACGTGTTTTTTGGTTCGTGTTACGTGTGTTTTGGTGTGCGATTCACGAATTTGGTGTTTTTTTTTTGAATTTGAAAATTTTAAATTTTCAAAACAGATTTTCAAAGAAAAAACAGAATTTGTTTTTGTTTTTACCAAAAAAAAAGACATTCAAATTTTTAAAAACAGTTATCACAACAGTAACAGTAAGTTTGGTTTGTTTGTTTTTTGCTAATTACGTCATTGTTTTTTTGTTTTTTGATTTCATGATTTGATGACGAAATTGAAAGAAAAAATGAGAAAATAGGGTACCGTTATTATTTTTAGCTTTTTTTAAAATTCACTTGATAGTATCATAATCACAAAATATCAAATGATTCGATATTTTGTTACTCTCTCTCTCTTGGTTTGATATTGAATAATTGTCTAATCATCATCATCATCAGTAATCATCATTTACACAACCACCTTTAACATTAGAAAAATTAATGATGATTATCAATGAACAAGTTCGTTTGTTTCGGTTTTTCATTCATTTCATTCATTTTGATTTTTGATGGAAAAATTTCAATTTTTCCACTTGAACGCTGAATGAATGAATGGAAAAATCTGTCATTGACAGAAATTCTATTTAGGAAATAACATTGAGGATTTCTTTTAGTTTTTTTTTAAAAAAAACTTTTTCATTCGAAAACAGATGTGTGTGTGTGTTTATCTCTCTCTGCAAAAACCCAAATTGAATCCAAAGATGTTTTTGAAAAAAATCAAATTCTCATGGTGTGTGTTTGCGTGAATGCATGGTTAATGTTTTTAAAAACGATGGCAAATTTTCAACATTATATTTACCTACGCGTGCCGCCATCATCATCATCGCCATCAAATATACCAACAATTTCTATCGATCAATATCGATTCAATGATGATGATGAACAAAATGTTGACCAAAATTCTATACAACAAAATAATTATCTAACAGTTCCTTCACCAATTAATTATTATAATTCATTAAATACAAATTCTAATTATGAAAATGCTTTTTATTTATCACGTCGTTTACGTAAACATTTACAACAACGACAACAACCACGAAAACCACGACCACCATTAATATTTAGACCATTAACAACAACAATGTCTAAAGAAAATAATAACGAAACGGATGATGTTGCAAAAGATCCTGGTTCGATGTCCAATCGTCCAACATCGGAAACCGATGTTGAAGGACATCGTGTATTTCATGGTTATGGTGTTCATGTACCTGGTTCAGGTACAAGACGTCGTCCAGGTAGCGGTGGTGGTGGTGGTAGTAATGGTAATAATGGTAATGGTCATCGTCGTAATCGTAAAAATGGTTCATCAAAACGTTCAAAAGATTCGGAAGATGAATCGGATTCGGAACTTATGCGACCTTGTATGTATTTTGTTGATTGATTTTTGATTGATTTGTTTGATTTTTAATCAAATTAAATTAATTTTTACCATAGCGGATCGTGTACATTTTATTTTGGGTGAAGATGATACAACTGGTGGACATGAATCACATCCATTATTTAGTGAAATGGCTGAATTAGTATCAACAAATGAAGAAATGGAATGGCGTGAAACTGCTCGTTGGATTAAATTCGAAGAAGATGTTGAAGAAGGTGGTAATCGTTGGTCAAAACCACATGTCGGTACAATTTCCTTGCATTCATTATTTGAATTACGTAGCTGTATTTTGAATGGTACGGTTTTATTGGATTTAGAAGCATCTAGTTTGGATCAGATTGCAGGTAATTTACCGAATTTTGTTTTAAACTTGCAAATCAAATTAAATTTTCTAACTTCTAAAAATTCAGATTTAATGCTTGAAAGTATGGTACAAAATAATCAATTATCATCGGATGTAATACCAAAAGTAAAAGATGCATTATTACGTCGTCACCGACATCAACATGAACGTCGTCATCATGGTGATTCAAAAAATCGTTTGCCAATTATTCGATCGTTGGCCGATATTGGTAGAAATTCCAGTAGAAGTATGTTTGGATCGCACAGTAAGTTTTGTCTTGTTTTAAATATTACAAAAAATTCTGATTTTTTTGATTTCAACGATACGTAAAAGCAAACATTAAAGCTTAAGATTAGTTTAGTTTTCCAGGTTACCCATCTCATTTAAAATTTATCAAAACTTTCTTTTCTTTTCGTTTTTTCATTTCCATTCTTTCCTCTTTCAAATCATTACTTTTTCATTTCTATTTTTTTTTGATCTAATGAATGATTGAATGTTTGTGAACCAAAAACAAAAGGATCATTGGATAAAATCCTATCCGATGTTCCACCACCACCATCATCATCATCAACAACAACAACATTGACATCATCATCATCACAACAACCACAACAACAACAACAACAATCATCTATTACAACATCATATTCAAATCCAACATCACCGATTCCAAGTACCGGTACCGGTAATGTTTGTCATTCATTATCATCATCATCAACATCAACAATACCTGTATCATCAGCTCAACAACAACAACAAAATTTTAAAGGAAAAAATACATTAGGTGTACCGGCACGTAAAGGTGCTAATATTACTGGTATTGAAAAATTTTTTGTCCAAACATTTTTGTTTTGTTTTTGATTTGTTGTTTTTGTTTTTTGTCCAAAGTTTCAACCACATCCAAAAAGAAATTGCTGCATGTGATATTTGCTTTGTTTGTTTGTCTGCTATGTGTTTATCTTGTTTCCGCATCTTCTTTTTCTTTGTTTTTTCGTTTCCTTTGAAAAGCTTTTTTCACCAGTTTCCACACCATGTCATTTTCCGCTTCAATTTTTTGTTTTGTTTTTATCGACCCTTTTTTTGTTTGTTTGTTTTTTTAGTTAGTTCACAAAGTTAGATTTAGCCGCTTGGATTCACTGAATTTTATTCTGTGTGTTTGTGTGCTTTGTTTTTATTAAAAATTTTTTAAGAAAAAAAAACAACAGCAGAATCTTTTGAAATTTTCTTTCTAATTTTTCTTTTTTGTTTTGTTTTTTGATTAAACACCTGCACACAAACAATTAGCTCATAGCGATTCATCAATGCCACAAAGTCCAAGCGCTCATTCATTACAAGCACAAGGTTCGGATGGACAACATTTATCCGGTAGTGGTGCTTCTTCATCCGATCTTCAACATAAAGTAAGTTTTGTTTTGGTTTTTCGGTCTTTCTAACCCTGTTTTTTATATAGCTAAATCAAGGTTTTATGCGAAAAATTCCACATGGCAGTGAAGCCGATAATATTCTTGTTGGTGAAATTGATTGTATTGATCATTCAATTTCAGCATTTATTCGCCTTAAAAATGCTTGCTATCTTGGTGATTTAACTGAAGTGCCCGTACCGACACGTTTTTTGTTTGTTCTACTTGGTCCACACAGGTTTGAATTATTTCAAAAATTGAATAAAAAATTGAAATTTTACAGCAAAATTTCCTTCTTTTTTTTAAAATTTGGATTTAGCATTCCCGGACGTTATCATGAAGTTGGTCGTGCAATGGCAACATTAATGTCTGATGATGTTTTTCATGATGTTGCTTATAAATCAAAATCACGTGATGATTTATTAGCTGGTGTTGATGAATTTTTGGATGCTGTTACTATTTTACCACCTGGTGCATGGGATCCATCAATTCGTATTGAACCACCTGTACAAGTACCATCACAAGAAACACGTAAAAAACCACAAGAAAAAGAAGCTGAAATTGATTCCGAAGAAGAAGAAGAAATTGAACGTGAACGTTCTGGTTTGAAAAGATCTGGTAGAATTTTTGGTGGTTTAATCAATGATATTAAACGAAAATATCCTTGGTATCTTTCGGATTTTACCGATGCATTTGTATTACAATCAGTTGCATCAATATTTTTCTTGTATTTTGCTTGTTTAACACCAATCATTACGTTTGGTGGTTTACTTGGTGATGCTACTGGAAACAATGTTGTAAGTAACTTTTTTTTTGTTTGAAAAAAAAGAAAATTCTTGATAATAATTTCAATTTTGTTTTCCTTTCAGGCAACAATGGAAAGTCTATTAACTGGTGCTATTTGTGGTATATTGTATGGTCTATTTTCTGGTCAACCATTAACAATTTTAGGTAGTACTGGTCCTGTATTGGTATTTGAAACAATTCTTTATGATTTTTGCAAGTAAGTGATTTGTTTTTTTGATGGGAAAAACAAAGAATTAACATTCCATTCATTAATTCACGTTTGTTTGTTTGTTTGTTTGTTTTTTTGTTTTACTTTCAATAGACGACATGATCTACATTATTTAAACATTCGTTTATGGATCGGTTTATGGATGGCATTCTTTTTATTAGTTATGGTTGCATTAGATTATAGTGCATTAGTTTGTTATATAACTAGATTTACTGAAGAAAATTTTGCCACATTAATTTCAGTCATTTTTATTTTTAAAGCATTTGAAAATGTAAGCAGCAAAAAACAAGCATTTTGATTGAAATATTTCATTTTTCTTTTTCAAATTTTTTTTAGCTATTCCATATTGGTAAAGAATATCCGGTTGATAGGTATCCTGATATACCTAAAAATTATCTTTGTAATTGTTCAATTGATGGTGAAATATATGAATTACAACGAACATTTAGAAATGATACAGCATTACGTGAATGTAAATTATTAGGTGGAACATTGATTGGTGATGGTTGTTCAACACCTACCTATCTGCCAAATGTTTTCCTTTTTTCATGCATATTATTTGTTGCAACATATGCTATATCGGTTTTCTTGAAAGAATTTAAAACGGCACCATTTTTTTCAACAAAAGTTCGACAAATTATATCAGATTTTTCTGTTGTAATTGCTATTGCATCAATGACAGCATTCGATATGTGGGTACATATACAAACACCAAAATTATATGTACCGGCACAATTTAAACCAACACGTGATGATCGTGGTTGGTTGATACCATTTTTTCATGAAAAAAATCCCGTTTGGTTAATACCATTATGTTGTATACCGGCTTGTTTTTCAACTATACTTATATTTATGGATCAACAAATTACAGCTGTTATTATTAATCGTAAAGAATATCGTTTAAAAAAAGGATGTGGCTATCATTTAGATTTATTTGTATTATGTATATTGATTGCAATTGCATCAATAATGGGTTTACCATGGTTTGTTGCTGCAACCGTATTGGCAATGACACATGTTAATTCATTAAAAGTTGAATCAAAAACATCGGCACCGGGTGAAAAACCACAATTTTTAGGTGTATTAGAACAACGTGTTACAAATATTATGATATTTTTATTGGTCGGTTTATCCGTATTTTTTACACCCGTACTAAAACATATACCAATGCCTGTATTGTTTGGTGTATTTTTATATATGGGTACTTCATCATTAAAAGGATCACAGGTAAAATATAATTATGATTTAATTGAACCTAACCTAACCAAACCATCTTTTTCTTTTTCCCTTTGTTCAATCATTTTACAGTTTTTCGAACGTATTCTCATCATATTTATGCCACAAAAATATCAACCAGATTATGTTTTCTTACGTTATGTACCAACATGGAAAGTTCATATGTTTACATTAATACAGATTATTTGTTTCTTATTATTATGGGCAGTTAAATCATATAAAAAGATTTCAATCATGTTTCCGCTTATGGTAAATTTTTGTTTTTGTTTTATTTAACCCTTTCATTTATTGATTGATTGAATTTTCGTTGTTGTTTTCTCTTTCTCTCTCTTTTTAGTTATTAGTTATTGTCATTGTACGTAAATTATTAGATTTTGTTTTCACACGTCAAGAATTGAAAATATTGGATGATATTATGCCCGAATCAACTAAACGTAAAAAGATTGAAGAAAAAGAATTATTACAAAAAAATGAAGATGATAAATCTGGACCAGGTGGTGGTGGTGGTGGTATTGGTGGCACTGCTGTAGGTTTATTACCTAATACAAGTTCAGGAAATGTTACAATACCATTAGCCAATGGTAATGTATTGAAAATACCAGTCAGTAAAATTGGTTCGGAAGAAGAAAAAGAACCAGATATAAATATTACTGAACAATTAGCTAAATCAAATGCATGGCGTTCAATCAATCATGATTCAAATGGTACACAAACAAAACCACCAACAACAGCAGCACAGAATGGTGGTAGTAGTGGACAAAAGAAAAAAAATCGTGTGAATAAAAAAGATGCCAAAAGTGAAGAAGAACAAAAACGTTTATCAACAATGAGAGAAGAAGATGATGAAGAAGATTGTGGTATAACAATAAAAGTTGATGCACCAACACCAGTACCAACGGCTGTTAATTCACCAAAAGATGAATCATCGAAAAATAATGAAACACCTGTTTAAATTATGAAAAAAAATCAATCAATCAATCAATCAACAGATCGATTCAATGTTTTATGCTCGACATTCACATACACACACAAACACACAGAATCCAGATTCAAAAAAAAGGCAGCAAAATCTAAATTTACAAATAAATTTACAACAAAAAAAAAATTCAATAAAGTAATACAAATGTAATACAATCATTTTCTCTCTCTTTCTCTGTCTGTGTGTGTGTGTGTGTGCGATTGATTTTTTTGATTCCCGACTTCTGACTTTTGATTTTTGACTTATGATTGATTGATTGATGATCAATAAATTGTGATTTGATAACTAACTAATAACTAATAACTATGTTAATTAATAATAATAATGTTAATCATGATAAAACAAAATTACAAACAAAAAAAAAATTACAAAATTCTAATGTTTATTGTCGATTGTCAAATGTTGATGCTTTGGAAACAAAAACAAAGATTTGTTCAGAATGTGTGTCGTGAATGACATTAGGAATTTTTTTCCATTTTTTTCTCTTGGAAAAATTGTCTTTCGTTTTATTTTCTCTCTCTCTCTCTCTCTCGCGTTGCTCTTTTCATCATCATCATCCGAATCATTCATACTCAATCAATCAATCGATTCAATCAAATTAACACAAAAATATTCTCGAAAATAACAAAGAATTTGTTCATTGTTTAATGGCGTTTTTATAACGATAATAATGATCATCATCGAACATCATTTGGTGAAAACAAAATGGAAAACAGAAAAAAACTTTAGCAAATTAAAAAAATAATCGAATGTAACAATCATCATCGCCAATCATCATTATCATCATTAAGATCATCATCATCATCATTTTATCCCATTCTAACAATATTTTTCAACAGAAAACAAAACAAAAAAATGATTAACATTTTATTCATCAATGTGAAAACGAACGAATAGCAATTTTACAAAAAAATTTTAAAATAATTTAACGTCCATTATAATAATTATTTTATTTTATTTTTATTTTTATTTTTATTTTAAAAAAAATTCGTTCTCATTATTATTATCTATTGTCAAGTAGTAAAATTATTATAATTATAATTATAATTTTCATTTGAATAAAATAAAATAAAAAGTCAATTTTAAAAGTGGAAATTATCGAAGAATAACCGAAAAATTGTTTCCAAATAACAAATTGACATTTATCAATTTTTTTTTATTATTAATCGCTAAACATTTTAAAATATTCTGTATTCTCGCTTCTTCTTTCTTTTCCTTTTTAGTTGGCTGGTTGACTGGTGGTATTCAGCCATACATATAGAGGGAATTTTATCATTAATGATGATGGTAGCAGTGAAAATCGAATCTATTTTTAGATTCCAACAACGCACACACGGAGCATGAAAAAAAACATTGCAAAAATGAAAGAAAGAAAGATTGGATAGCAAGGATGGATAGATAGATAGATGGAGAGAGAATGAATGAATGAATGAAAAACCATTTCATCCATGCATACCGGGTAACATGTGATATGGAAAAATAATAATAATCTTTTTTTTATTTCATAAAAAATTTATATCATTAAAAAAAATATAATTCGAAAAGGAACGAAAGAAAAAATCTTACACAGAATATTTTCAGAATTTCAGAATTTCCATATTCTGTCGATGTTATATTGAAAATTATTATATTTGATTCTGTTTGATTTATATCAGAACAAAAAAAAAATCTTGTACAGAATATTTTCTTCTTTTTCCTCCCCCCTAAGTACAGAATTGACAAAATGAAAATGGTTTTTGGAATGTTTCATTCAGTTTGATTAGCTGTTGTCAAATGTAATTTGTAATTTGAAAAATATCCACAAAATGTTTGATCCATTTTGAATCGATAGTAGAATTTTCTCTTTTTCTTAAATAAACACACTTCATCAATATATGAGACAGAAACTGAACAAAAAATGAAATACTTTACCGGTAAACATTTTAAATATTGACATTTGATTCGATCAAAACAAAAATAAATAAATAATGGTCATTCAATGATGAAGAAGAAGTGGAAAAAAAATTCTCTCAACGATGATGGCCCTCTTTATACCACTCTGTTCAAACATTTCTCAAATATCAAATTCAACCGGAATTTTCATTTCTTGCTTCTTTATTTTCTACACAAAAACTTTATTTTGGATTCTGAATTGGAAAGTAAAATCAATAATAATATCTAGAATAAAATGAAAAGATAGAAAAAAGAAGAATTCTGGATTCTGATTTCTGTCTATGATTATTATTGGTTGTTGTTGTTGTTGTTGGTTGTTATTCCAATATCATCATTATTATCATCATCGTTTATTTTGTTTCTTGTTGTTTGTTTGTTTGGTGTTTGAATTTGCAAAGGTGATATAATAACAAACAACAACAACAGCAAAGTATAGTGCAAATATTCTCTGTTATCATCATCATCATCATTTTCATTCGAATTCTTTCATTCATAAGAATGAGTGCGAGAGAGAGAATGAGAATAAATGAATGAAAAGAAAAGAAAAGATGTTCCAAAGAATTTCTTTGCATGATAATAGAGTGAGTGAGTGAGAGAGAGTTATTCGGTTCTAATCAGAATAACACCAGAATGAAATGAAAAAACATGCGCTTTACCTATTTTTTTAGATTTATTCATCATCATCATCATCATTACAATCCAAAAGAAGAATCAAAAAAAAATGATAATGATAATGATAATGATAATGATTCTATACCCATATACATCATATACACAACACATATAGAGAGAGAATACCGTATAGAGTTTATTTTCATCATTTTCATAGAATTAAACAAAACAAAACAAAATTCCAAATCAATTTTTTTCCTTTTCTTCTTCTTTTCTTCCATATTCGTTGTTGTTTCTTCCTATTCACGATTTTAATCTATTCTTTCTGCTCTCTCTCTCTCTCTCTCTCTCTCTCTCTCTCTCTCTCACTCTTCTTTATGATTATAATTAT